TCAAGTCCTTAGAAAATGAACCCTTTTATTCACTTAAAAAGAAAACCATTGACTTTAAAAATTAATTTTTTTTAAGTTGGCGAAATCCTTCCAAATTTTCCAACTTGTGAGAGAACCTTCCCCCTATTCTTCATGTTCCATCATTCATCATAGAGATCAGTACTTTCCGGCGGCAAAATCCATGCTGCCTCCACGATATCTTTTTTCCACATTTTCCATTTTTACAATTCTTTCCTTGTTTGCTCTTCACTATCTCCACTTCACCATCCTTTGACCCTCTCACCACATTTACTCCTCTTACAGGACCCCCGTCTACAGTAGTACAGCCAGAGTTTTCGAAGCAGTTACTAATTATTGCGTAGACAAGGTAGAGCCCCGCCCAGTAGGAGGAGCCAACACAGGAGGACCGAATTAGGTGGTCGGTCGTTAACGAATAAACCCTAATTATTTTCAGAGGAGCTACACGCACACAAAGGCCCAATCAGAGGCCGCGGTTCTAGGAGTTCTGAGGGGCGGGGCTGGCCAAGTGCCCTCCCACCTCCCAGTCTCCCGCCGGGGCCGTCGGTGCCTCGCGGGCATGAGCAGGCCCCGCCCCCTGGCCAGGCGCGGCGGCTATTGGGCGGCGAGCTCCCTGCCGTTGTCCCAGTTGCTGGGAGAGCGAGCGAAGGCGGGGGCGGAGCCGGGGGTGGGTCGGGGGCCCAAGAGAAAAGCGGGGAGGTGAGGGCGGGTTGGGCGGATTCGAAGAGAGCCGCGGCGGTTGGCGAAGCGGTCGGAGCACAGCCTCCCCGGTGCGAGGAACGGTCTCTGCTGACAGATCCCCTTCTTCCGGCCGCGCCACCCGGGAGGCGGGTCCCCCGGGCCTGTGGAGGCTTCCTCGGCCCGGCCCTCCCTCCCTCCCTCTCCCGCGGGTCACCCGAGCGGCCTGTGACGACGAGGAGGAGGAGAAGAAGGAGGAGGAGGTTGTCGGGGGCGGCAGCGGGCGGAGAGCGCGCTCCCCCCTTCCCCGGCGGCGGCGGCGGCGGCGGCGGCGGCGGGGGCAGGACAATGGAGGTGGCTGTGGAGAAGGCAGCGACGGCGGCCGTGGCCGCTTCGGCGCCGGCCGCCGGGGGGCCCTCGGCGGCGCCGAGCGGGGAGAACGAGGCCGAGAGTCGGCAGGGCCCCGACTCGGAGCGCGGAGGCGAGGCGGCCCGGCTCAACCTGTTGGACACTTGCGCCGTGTGCCACCAGAATATCCAGAGCCGGGCGCCCAAGCTGCTGCCCTGCTTGCACTCCTTCTGCCAGCGCTGCCTGCCCGCTCCCCAGCGCTACCTCATGCTGCCCGCGCCCATGCTGGGCTCGGCCGAGACCCCACCTCCAGTCCCGGGCCCCGGCTCGCCGGTCAGCGGCTCCTCGCCGTTCGCGACCCAAGGTGAGAGGCGGGCGCGGGGGACCCCGGGGAGGGAGGGCGTTGGGGGAATCGGGCGCCCTTGTGCTGCACGGCCCGCTGTCATGTCGCCGCCGCCAGGGGTGCGGGGCGGGGGAGGGGCGAGAAGGAGGGTCTGTGTTGGCGGCGGTGACATGGAGGGCCCGCGCTCGCTCTGCGGCGTGCCTCGCGCCCCGCGCCCCGCGAGCAACTTCCACGGGCGCTGTGGACTTGGCCGCGCTGCCGCTCCTGGCCCTCGGCAGCCCCCTCCCGGGTTGGGTGGCACACGGGACCCGCACTTTTGAAAACCTCTGTCGGAGTTTGCTGGGTCGTCTGGATCTCGGGTTCTTTGCCAACTGCATCTAGTTAACGGCTACCCAACCGCCTCCCCCAAAGCTTTGTCCAGGTGCCCACGAGCCTAATCATCTCGTCTACACGCACGTTTTTTGAGCTGGAGGGGGGGAGGCAGGGATGAAGATGAAGTGATGGTGACTTTCTTGGATGACTTCCTACAGGTCAATTGCCGTCTATTTTCTGTCTTGTGTTTCGTGTTCGTTACCTTAAACAAGAACCCGGTTCTCGTCTCTTCCCCTCTGCTGTGGACAAAGGAACTAAGAGGCGGTGTTTTTGTTGTCTTTCTCTTTCGAAGATTTTATTTTTGGGACGGTAAAGAGAAGTAGAACAAAGTGATTTTGGGTGCAGGATTTTTCTGGTATTTTGTAGACAACAGCTGTAAATGTTGAAGTTACTGTGCTCTTAATGCGTTTGTTAGCTGTATAATGAGAGTTTTGACAGGTAGTTCCCATTGGTAACGTTAACAGGTTTGAACCATTTAAAGTTAGTCCAAAGTAAGCACAGTAATTATTTTTCTAGTAGAATACCTGAGGCCTTTACATTTTAATATTGCAAATATACAAAGTAGCTGGAAAAGGGGGGATTGTTCATTTCTAATATTTGCTTCCTTTTTAGAGGGACTAGTTGGTTTGAGATAAAATGCTAATTAAGTAATTGAGTTAAGTCAAGGGGTATATGAAATTAATTAATGCTTCAAATAAATTGTAGTGTTAGACTCCTCATTTAATTATATGTTAGGAACAGTATCTAGTGGAGGGAGATAATTTTCCTTGGGTCTTTCTCTGTTTCTGCAGGTCCTGCCAGTGGACTGACTGCCCTTTGTTTGTATTTTTAAAGGATGTTTGTATAAGGAACAGCCTTAGAAAATAGTGTCTTCCATCTGAGCAAAGAGCAGGCATACATATGGCCCAGTGTAATAAAGATGAATGTCTCCTGGAGTAAAAGGCAGGCATGCTTATTGCTCATCATAAAAGATTAGGGTTCCCTAAGCTTAGGTTTCCTCTCTTGTAACACAACCAATTGCCTGTGCAGGTGTCAACTGGCCCTCTTCACCTTGCCTGGTAGGAACTGGGACTCTGGGAACCGGTGCAAAAATGTTGGTGCTTTGGCTTATGTTATTATTGTAAGGAATAAAATGCCCTTTGTCTGTGACCCCTGAGTCTTGTGTTTTCTCCCAGCATCTGTGGTAAGCTATTTGGTTAGCTTGTAAGTAGGGTAAAATCTCAGATTCTTGATACTAGTTTGCTCAGATGTGGCCCACCTGTTGGAAAGTTAGTGCAAGCAAAACATCTCAGTTCTTAATTTTTAGACACATTTTAAGGTTCCTTATATTTCTATTTTAAGTGGTTAAACATGCAACTAGCCAATTAGGATCTGAATTTTGCGTAATTCTAGAATTAAGATATATTGTGTGCCTGGCCATGACATTCAGACCTGAAGGAGTGAGAACTTGGATAATAAAAGCTCTGATCCTCAAGAGACAAGTTAGTAATTCCAGATTTCTCATGATATTTTATGTAATTCCAGTCCCCAACTATTTTTTTATCTTTGCATTTGTATTGTAAGCAAGAGTTCAAGGAAAGCATTTAAATTGGAAGATGAATGTTTTTTATACTAAGAAAAGGCTTTAACAGATGATACTTTCACTTACACCTCAAAAAAGTTAGGGTTATCTTCAATAAATTAAAAATATTTTCCTGAGTCTCATTGACTGGGATGTTTTCTCCCCCCTTTCCCAGCAAAGTTATTTTAATACCAGCCCAAGTAAAAGTTTACACGATACATTTTAGAATTAAATAGATAGGGTTCATTTGATCATCTGTTCTTCATTCTCCTAATGAGCTTGTGGGTGTAGGCATCATGGATCAAACTACAATACCTATAGGCACTAAGCAGGTAATTGAGATGGAAAACTAGGAGCCTGGGGTTAAAATAATTGGGAAAGGTGGGGAATGAGGGGTGGGAGTTGGGCGGGGAGCAAACTCAGCTCCAGCAGACTCTCATGTGAGTGCAGGGCCAGTGTTGAAGGATTTTTTTTTTTTTTTAATGAGAAATCTGAAGTCTGGATTTTTGTGTAAAATTTCTCTAGTACTAGATCTTGGCAGGTAATTAAAAAAAACAACAACAAAAAACAAACCCACACAGGCCCATTCTATTCTGTAGGTCAAAAAAACAAAACAAACAAGTTTGGTTGAGGCCACATATCATGCTGCAGTTATACTCTTCCCTTTTGGATTTAGATAGGGGTTTTCAAATTTTAGCTCTATGAGAATCACCTGGTACACTTGTTAAAAATTGATTTCTAGGCCCCTCTGCCCACAGAGCTCAATTTGGCATAGTTTTAAAATTCTAGAGTATAATATTAAGCCCTAGTGTTTCTTTAGCTCAAGCAGTATTATATTCCAAAATACAGGTGATCATAAAAGGGTTCTTTAGAAAATTAGGACCAGAATTCAAGGTGTAGAGTAGCTCTCAACACTATCAGACCTAGATTCCCTTTCTAGTATGTACTTTTTGGTGCTCCCTATATTATCTTAAACGAAATTTATAGAAAATCTCCCTAACACATTTTTATCAAAACCAACATAATGCTTCACCCTTTAGAAAAGAAAGCTAATTTATAACAAAGTATTATAATTTTTAAATGCTCAGATACAATTGCACTAGCCCCCATGCCCCCACTGACGTCCTTTTCTAAGGCTACGTTGGATAACTACCTCAGCCCTTGTCACTTTCTTAGCATGCATTTTACATCCAAGAAAGAGGGGAGAGCTTAGAAAACAGATTTTCTTTAGGTACGTTATATATAGGTCCATGAAATCAGACAAACTGATCTTGGAGAAATGTTATAACATTGTGTAGTATTCTGTGCTATTGATGTACTGTTCAGCTAAAGAGTAGTAAATTAAGAGCTATTTTAAAAAACACTGAGAGCGTACCTTTGAAAGGGGCCACATTATTTTTCCAGGGAGTATAAAATACGAGACTTCATCAGTTTTCTTAGACTACGAACTGGCAGTCTATAAGATACGTAACTATCAGTTCTGGGAGCTGATTTCTTTTGGTTCTTGGCAAAAAATAGAAATCATTTTATGAGTACAAGATATAATGACAAAGGATTAGTAGTATTTAAGGTTGATTCATATTGTCTATATCAATTTTATACACAACAGTTCTATATACAATATTCACCTGTTGATGGAAATACTCTTGTTTTCAGTTTGGGGCTACCATGAATAAAATTGTTCTATAATAAATATTTGTACATAAGTCTTCATGTGGATAAGTCTTCTAAGTATTTCCTTCAGTAAATACTTAGAATTGAAACTTTTTTGCCTCATAAATGTGTGTTTACCTTGGTTGTACTACCACTTTGCGTTCCCTTCAGCGATGTATGTGAGTTCAAGTTGGTTCATATCCTTGCCAATTTGGGTGGTGTTAGCCTTTAATTTTAGCCATTCTAGCATGCGTGAAAGGAGTATCTAAATGGTTTTAATTTTTATTTCCCTGATGAATAATCATGAGCATTTTTTCCTGTGCTCATTGGCCATTTTTATATCTCTTTGGGTAAATTTCAGTTTAAGTCTTTTGCAGATTTTAAAAATTAGGTAGTTTGTCTTAGTGAAAAGTAAAAATTCTTTATATCTGCATCTTGGTCCTTTTGGGTACATGTATTGCAAGTATTTTCTCCCACTCCTGAAGCTTGGCTGTTCATTTTCTTAATGGTGTCTTTCAAAGATACGAAGTTTTAAATTTTGTCTGGTTTATCAATTGTTTTTCTTTTATGACTACTGATTTTTGTGTTCTTAACAATTCTGTGTCTACTCCAAGTTAACTAAGATTTTCTTTTTTTTTCTTTCAGTAGTATTATAGTGTTAGCTTTTATACTTAGATCTATAATCCATTTTGAGTGATTTTTGTGTTAGGTAAGGTTTGAGGTTCATGTTTTTAACCATAGTTAAAGCACCATTTATGGAAGAGTGTATGCGCTCCCATTATATTACTTCAGCATTTTTTTTTAAAAGTCAAACATATATGTATGGTTTCATTTCTGTACTCTATTCTGTTCTATTGATCATTTCTTGAGTACTATCTGTAGTTTTTTATTGCTGGGCTTTTAAAGCACAATTTAAAATTAGACAATTTTGTTTTAAAATTGTTTTGGCTCTTTGAAGTCATTTGCATTTCTTTATAAATTTTGTTATAATTTTTTGAAAATTTTTTTCTGGGCAAGCCTGAGTTCCTGAATCTTGATAAATTTTAGATGAGTTTCTACACAAAAGCCTGCTTTGGTTTTGATTGGAATTGCATTGAATCGAGACATGAATTTGAGGAGGAGGAGATTAACAATATTAACTTTGCCTTTCCATGAACATTTTTTTATCTCCCATTTATTTAGATCATTCATTTCTCTCAGCACTCTTACTGTAGTGGTCTTGCACAATTTTTGTTCTAAAATATTTTATGCTAGTGTTTAATATTATAGGTGGTGTTTTTTAGAATTTTATTTCCAATTATTGCTAGTATGTTGAAATACAATAGACTTTTATATGTTGATTGTATCCTGTTATCTTGCTAAATTCAATTATTAAAGCTAGTAGTTTTTTGTAGATTCCTTAGGATCTTCTACACAGACTATCATATTGCCTATA